AAAATTTTGGTTTGGTATTGTATGTGGGTGTTCTTTCCATTTTTGTATGTGGACTGGTAAATGCTAATTTGCATCTTCGGTATGTCTGTAGGTGTTAATGCGCCCATTTTTCAGACTATATTCACTTATATGAGTTTGGCTCTGGTTTATGGAAGCATCGTGCTGTGTAGGCGTCAAAAGCTAAGGGTAATCTTCTACCTCATTCTCTCATCAAAGTTCCCAAATTTAAGAATATTGATGTATGACAAAGAAAATTTGTAATACATTGGTTGTAATTTGTTGCCAAAATGGAAGTAATGGAACTTGGATTGATTTGTTGATGTACTGTTTGTCATATGCGTCGTGATTAAGCAGATTTCTATAAACTATATGCAGTTGGGAATTGAAAGCAAAGTGTCATATAAATTTGGGTTTTGCAGCTCGCTTGGTATTGGTATCTCTTCTTGGGCTTTGTTGATGTCCAAGGGAATTATCTTGGTGAGTAATAGTTGTCGATCTTCTCATTTCTACTCAAAGGCATTTTTGCTTGTGGTACTTTTATTTGCCTTGGTTGTGTGTGACAGATTATGATCAGATATAAATCTGTGAATTATGTAATGTGGAAGATGGTATTGTAAATCAATATAAGGTCATAGAGTTAGTTGCTTTAAGTACCAAGATGCGTGTTCATGGAATTGGAAATCAGCTGATCATCATTGACTTCGTGTGGCTTTTATGCAGTTAATGAAGCATACCAGTTCTCATCAATTACGAGTGTCACGCTGCTGGACTGCTGGACAATAGCATGGGCAATTGGTCTAACATATTTCTTCATAGGCACCCGATATTCATGGTGGCAGTTAGGGGGCGCAGTCCTCTGTGTGCTGGGCCTTGGGTTGGTGCTCCTTTCTGATTCTGGAGTGGGTGGTGGAGGTGCATTTTCTTTTCTACCTTTTAGACTGTAGTTTTCCTTCCTGGATTGTGGACTCGTAAATTTATTTTTAGTTTGTGTTTTTTTTTTTTGGGGGGATGATATCTAATTGGCTTGTTATCTTGTAGATTATATTCCTCGTTTCTAAACTGAGTTGCTAATTCATTTCTTTGCAGTTATGGGTATATTTTAGCATGTTCAAGTAGAAATATGAGAACCCTAAAACTAGAAATAGCTTTATCCCATTTCTATAGTTGATCTCTCAATAATAGTAGTACCCATCTTTCAGGTGGTTCGAGGCCTCTTCTGGGTGACATACTTGTCATTGCTGGGACGATATTCTTTGCCATGAGCAATGTTGGTGAGGTTGGTGAATCCCATTTTTCTTTGTCTTGCTCTCTTTATCAGTGCTTCATAGAAAGGGCAGTTGTATCCTGGTGGGATAATTGTATTTTAAAATGAAAGACCCAGAGAACTAAGAATACTCATCTAAGCTAATTTCTTTTTCATTTTTTACATGGAAGTCAAAGTTGCAGGATACATTTTATCTTTATCCTTAAAATGGAAAAGTTGACTTCAACATTTTTATTTGCCTGTCCTCTTATCAATCCCAAAACTGCAGGAATTTTGCGTTAAGAAAAAGGATCAAGTAGAAGTGGTCTCCATGATAGGGCTTTATGGAATGCTAGTCAGTGCTGTTCAGTTGTATCCTTTTAGTAGGCATTCTACGGTTCATCTATACTTGAATTTTGTTATAACTTATGTCTCTCACACTCTTTTTTTAAAGAAGTAGCTTACATGCCAGATTCAAAATTCTGACAAGTTGACAAGATGTTGCCTTAACTCCGTAATTTTCCTTTAGATCAATATTAGAGCTGAAGAGTGTGGAATCGATCACATGGTCTACAGATATTGTAAGTAATCTATTCTTGTTGGACATTCTATTATAAAACTACTCTGGTGATCATGTTCATGTTCAGCTGTCTGTTAAGGATTTTTGAAGTTCAGTTTGAAGAATGAATAGGAATTGTCTGTAGGAATGATGACCAGACCAATTGAAAAATGTAGGATTACATGGATGAAACAAGGTCCTTGTTTGCAAAATCAAATCCCACGCAAGGCAACCACAATCAATTAATTTATTCTACATTAAAGTTTGTGGCCTTTACTGTGTTGAAGACAGTTTCCAAAATTTAAATAATAAGAGTGCATTTATTTTCCTTGATAAAAGGTTATCCGGACCTCTGGCCTGACCAGGCATCTATAAATCACCTTATCCACAAGCATTGGGCAAAGCTCCACCCAAGGGTCGCAGGGGTGGCCTGTGGCCTACTTAAATATTGCGATGGAGGGATTTGAATCCACAATCCACATTTTTAAGCTTGGTTTGCCTCATTCCTTACCATTCCACCAACCCCAAAGGGTTAAGAGAGCCATTGGAGATTAGATAACACTGAGAAGCCTTTATCAGTATCAAGTAGTATTGCATGACATGCATCATGTTGAATTTACATTACATCTTCAAAGCTTCAGTCCCGTGAATTCAGGGAAAAGACTGTTCCTATTTTGAATACCTGGACCCATTTTCATGTTTCTACATTTTGGCTCTTCAGATATTATCTTTGGTTGGATATACTGTTTCAAGTTTTATGTTCTACACCATCACGCCCTTTGTCCTCAAGGTAAATTTCTTTCTTATTTGTATCTACTTTGGATTGCATCCTTTCATATCATGTCAAAGATATGACTTTCCTCATATGGTTTGCCATGTTTAGAAGCTCCAAATATGAATCATGTAGAGAAGGAATGGGTCATTTAACTATGAAACTGAAAATCAATAATAGCACCCTTAAGCTGATATGATCTATTTTACCTACAGTTGAGTGGAGCAACACTGTTTAATCTCTCGTTGCTCACATCTGATATGTGGGCAGTTGTCTTTCGCATCTATTTCTACCATCAGCAGGTATTATTTTCAAATCCTTCTGACAATTGGATTGTTATGAATAATTGGATAAACTTTGACCAACTTGAGCTAATTTCTTTAGTGTGCAATTTTAAAATATCATGAACAAATACCATTGATTTTCTAAAATTTGGTACCCATTGTCAACGCCTGACAAGATTTTGGTATTGCATTTCAGGTTGACTGGTTATATTTTCTTGCTTTTGCGCTTGTAGTCATTGGACTCATCATTTATTCAACTACGTAAGTTCTAACCTTTGTTACATTAATGATGTTTTTCTTCATTATCATGCATCAAGATTATCATCAATGATAGTGTCAAGTGTTGAATTCCTGCAATCTTTTCTCTTCATAACGAACATTAATAATATCAACATTTAATATCTAAACAAAAATTTTCAACCTAAACGGTAAACTTTCAAAATCCTGTACTCTGTAATTGACATATTTGTCATTGTTGCCTTTGTGAAAGGAATTGTTAACAGAAATTGATTTCCATGAATTAGTTGGCCTAACGTCCAATCCACATGGTGATAATAGCAAGATGTATCATAATACTTTTATAGGCCGGCTTTCTCCCATGATGGATTTATCCCATCACAAGAGGTGGTTGGGTTGGTATGAATAACTGATTGCCAGGAGTTAATCAAAATTGAGGGATATGTTTGATAAACATATAGTTCAAACTTCGGACTTCAGCATTGATATAGATCAATATGCAGTATAGAAGGGAATTTCTCTAGCCTCCTTATTTATTTATTGTTGTTATTATTATTTATTTTGAGTTGTGCAATGGGAGACAACCCTCTCTCATCCATTTACCCTGCCCCTAACTTCTTTATTATGTAAACACTGGTGCTTGTTTCATTCACCGCTTTTTGTGACAGTGCAAAGGATCTTGACATATCACCAGCTCCTGAGAGTGGGAACCAAAATGCACAATACCAACCACTTAATGATGAGAATGCAATGAATACAGATGAATCTTAGCTTTGTGATGTTGGAGTTTATGCCTCAATAACCTCTGTAAACTTCAAACCTGCACTACCAACTTAATGTTAGTAGCTCCTCCTTAAAGAAGCTGGTGTAAATTAATATTCCTCTAGAGGGCAAAGGATTGGTGTCGTTTTTCCTCTTCCAATCTATTAGAATGAAGATGGGGTGTTTTTGTACCCTGAACATTAGCAGCCAAGAGGAGCTGCACTTGGGAATGATATTTAGGCATATTGATTATTAAGAGTATATCAAAATTCCATTTATCTTTTGAATATATGTGAATCTTGGCTTAAATT